TGCACTAGGCAACTCACCAGGCGCATGGGCCGCATCTCTGCCCCCGCAAAGCCCCAGCGCCCACAAAGCACCCACTCAGCGGCGTACATCAAGGTGATCAAGGGCCGCCAGGACTTGTGGGTGATGTACCCCTCCTCAGCGCAGCTCTTGTTTTTGCTGCGGTTGGCAGAGCAAAACATAGCACTGCTGGTGAAGGACACCAACGTGTTTTCATGTGGTGCTCAGGGCATGGAGCATACGAATATCGAGCGTGCACCTGTGAATCTGTTTGTAAGGCTTACAGCTGCTGGGTTTCGGTGACGAATGAGCTGTGACTATAAGCATCTATGCTGTAGCAAAGTGAAGTGGAAGCCTGATTCGCTGCCTGAAAACTGGACCCCTGCCGTGATTGTTCGATTATCCTGTGTCCTTCACACATGACAGGCATCTCCCTGTACTCTCCGTCCAACCATCAGGAAAGAAAACAGGAGGGTAGCATGGTGGCACTCTTCCCAAACCTGCCAGAGTCCAGGATTATTGGCGAAAGGGCAAACACAGTCAAACACAGGTGGCACCAAATGTCATTGTCAAAAGTCGTCATGTACCAATGCAAGCTATCCAAGATAGCCATGATAAGCAAGTACCTGCTTTACAAACACTCAAGTTACTGTATAAAGCATACGCAGACCACCACCGGAATGCCAAGACATCAAACAACGCTCAAGCTTCCAAAGAGTATCCAAGGTAACAACATATATCCAAGGCACGGTGCCTTAAGATATCCAAGGCATAGACAAAAAACGTGCAATACTCCAAGCGCCAACAATACACAACAGGATGTATGTTGTACATGATAACCAAAAGACCCAATCATCTAGAGAACCAAGACACTAACTGGAATGCCGCCAAAGCTACGAAAAGCCAAAGATCTGACAAAGCGGCGCCCTTGCTCCAGGACGGCATGGTACACAGCATGGTCGTGAAAAATACAACAAGAAAGCGGCAAACGGATTCGGAAAGGGAGAGGCCACTTTGTGGGACAACGAAATCCTTGAAGGCTTCGGAGGGAGTCCCTGATTTTCTCGAGAAGTGTCTGCTCATCTGCAAGGCGAAACCACCATGGCTTCTCAATGCAACCGACCGTTGGCTGAGCAAGCGTCTGGAGGGTTCAAGGAAGTGCCCCAGAAGTCATGGCGCAGTACTTCCAGTATTGGCGTCTCGCCCTTGGCGTCGGGGTTACGGTAGATGGCGAAGCCCTCATCCACGAACCAGGCGCGGTAGCTCACACAGATGTAATACCTGTGCCACTTGCAGGTAAGCAGCAAACTTGCTCATGGGTGGTTGTGCACGGCGATCATTGATATTTGTCAATGCAACAGACTCCCCCGCTGACTGGAAAGTGACTTCCAATTGAGGGATGTATGCACAGGGTTCATGTTCACCAACCACTTTTGAGGGTCTTCCAGCCCAAGTTCATTGCCACCTCTGTTGGGTCACAATTAAGACCTGGTATTGAAATTGGCCCACCCAAGTCCACGTACGGAAACTAAAAGGCGGCCGCACCTATTTGGCCATGGGTCAAAATTCCATACCCCCAGTAAACATCCCAATTCCCACTAAAATAGGTTCTAAAATGGGTGGCGAATTCACCTACCAACCAAAATGGGATCCCAAAACGGTTTTGACACCCACAGTCATGTCTGCCTGGTTGATCATCCCCCCAACCCCAACCTTCATGGACCCACCCCCCAACCCCAAACAAAAAAAAAGGCGGCCGCACCTATTTCTGGCTGGTTGATCATCCCAACCCCGACCTTCGAATCGACCCCCGGGTCTTCCTTAAAACGGCGCCGGAGGCGCGGCAGCGTGAGGCCCACTGCCAAGAGCCAGGCGCCGAAGACTTGCGCGAAGGGCGTCGAAGCGGAAGCCGCTGGCCTGGCTTCCGGAGGCGAAAAAAAAGGATGGCCCCAAGCCGAGAATTCTACGAACATCATATGAGCACAGTTTTGTTTAAGAGGTTCAGGGCTTATACACTGCTGGGGAGGCTGCGCAGGGGGATTCGCGCGGCCAGAATTCGGGGTTGGCTTCGCGAGCCTTCGCGGCAAGACTGTAGCTTCGCGGAGTAGCTTCGGCGAGCTTCGCCGGGCTTCGCGGATGCTTGCTCCACAAACATCTCTGACGTTTGCGCTCTCATGTAGTTGAATCAAGTTGAGTCCATACACAGGGGGGCGATGAAAGGCGGTAAGAGACACATTGAGCTTCAGTTTCAGGACTAGGGGACATGGCTGGGCCTCAAAGGGACGAGCATGGAAGTTGGACCATGGTGGCTTCGCGGAGGCTTCGCGGGGGCTTCGCAGAGGCTTCGCGAAAACGTGCCATCGTTTCTAGCAAAGCCGGGCCTGAAACGCACAGTGCTCTTAAGTCTTCCTGTCGTCTTCCCATAATCTTCCGGCAGACTGACTGTAATCTTCCAGTTGTCTTGTCATAGCCTTCTGCCTCTAAACATCAGCCTGTGGTATGCCACTGCCATGAAAGCACACAACACACTTGCCATGAAGCACATAACACACTCCAACCACGAAGTGGCTTCGCAAGCGGCTTCGCATGTGTCAATGTTTCCGGGCTACGCGAATTGGCTTCGCGGGGTTTCGCGGCACACAATGTATCACACAAGTGCCTTCGCGGACCTTTTGGGAGTTCCCCACGAAGCTAAAATCCATCATCTGCAAAAAAACACTGCTCATATGGGCGTTCCTGAAAATGGTGGAGTTCTCCTGGTTGGTATTTAAAGGGAGGCCAAAAGGAAATCCATTATTTCAGGGGACCCCGATTGAGAAACACCCATGGCCCATATCATTGATATGCAGGCTCAACAAGGCTTACTACAACCTAAGCCAGTAGAGGCTGTATAGGCTTATAATCCCGACAAAACCAGGAGCCGGCCACCGCAAAAGGTCAATAGGGGTTAAGGCGTGCCAGGGAGCCAAGCGGTTGGCGCTCGGAGTCTAACCACCAAACCACCAATCCAACCCACTAATTAGTAGCTGAATTCTTGGTCTCAAGTTGGGCCGGAAAAAACGAAAAAGTCAAGCATAGCATCACACATGCACTCCGTGGCTTGCCCCTCCCAGATTGTTGCCCCAGGCCGGCAGCAGTGCCTTGTGGCGTCCGGTCAAACTGACAGCGGCAAGGGGACAACAACAACAACAACAACAACAAGAACAATAACAATAACAATAACAAGAACAAGAACAAGAAGAAGAACAAGAAGAAGAACAAGAACAAGAAGAAGAACAAGAAGAACAAAAAGAACCAGAAGAACAAGAAGAACAAGAACAACAAGAACAACAAGAACAACAAGAACAACAAGAAGAACAAGAAGAACAAGAACAACAAGAACAACAAGAACAACAAGAACAACAACAAGAACAACAAGAACAACAAGAACAACAACAACAACAACAACAACAACAACAACAACAACAACAACAACAACAACAACAACAAGAACAAGAACAAGAACAAGAACAAGAACAAGAACAAGAACAAGAACAAGAACAAGAACAAGAACAAGAACAAGAACAAGAACAAGAACAAGAACAAGAACAAGAACAAGAACAAGAACAAGAACAAGAACAAGAACAAGAACAAGAACAAGAACAACAACAACAAGAACAACAAGAACAAGAAGAACAAGAAGAACAAGAAGAACAAGAAGAACAAGAAGAACAAGAAGAACAAGAAGAACAAGAAGAACAAGAAGAACAAGAAGAACAAGAGAAAGAAGAACAAGAAGAACAAGAAGAACAAGAAGAACAAGAAGAACAAGAAAGAAGAACAAGAAGAACAAGAAGAACAAGAAGAACAAGAAGAACAAGAAGAACAAGAAGAACAAGAAGAACAAGAAGAACAAGAAGAACAAGAAGAACAACAAGAAGAACAAGAAGAACAACAAACAACAAGAACAACAAGAACAACAAGAACAACAAGAACAACAAGAACAACAACAAGAACAACAAGAACAACAAGAACAACAAGAACAACAAGAACAACAAGAACAACAAGAACAACAAGAACAACAAGAACAACAACAAGAACAACAAGAACAACAACAACAACAACAACAACAACAACAACAACAACAACAACAACAACAACAACAACAACAACAACAACAACAACAACAACAACAACAACAACAAGAACAACAAGAACAAGAACAAGAACAAGAACAAGAACAAGAACAAGAACAAGAACAAGAACAAGAACAAGAACAAGAACAAGAACAAGAACAAGAACAAGAACAAGAACAAGAACAAGAACAAGAACAAGAACAAGAACAAGAACAACAACAACAACAACAACAACAACAACAACAACAACAACAACAACAACAACAACAACAACAACAACAACAACAAGTTGCGCAGCTGTTCGCAGGTCACAAGGCCAAATTGATCTGTTGCCTGGTTTCCATCAGCTGCCGCAACCTAACATCTGAGCAAAGCAGTTCAACATGGGGGCTCCCCAATCCAAGAATCAGTAATGCGCAGTGGGACCACTGCAACAAGAGAAACCACTACCATTCTGTATCCCAATTTAAAAGCAGGTCTATGCGTGAACTCAGCCAGATCCTCTGCGGCCGGGCGACATGAAGACACATCTGCATGCTGAATCCAGCTTGAGAAGCCATTCGACCACCCAAGGTTTGCCACCCCCTCTGAAAGGTGTCCCTCGCAGACGCGATCTTGACAGGCTGAAGATTTGGGGGCTTGCACAACGGCAGTATCGCCATTTTAAGTTGCAGCATGTGCGTCTGGCACCAATGGTGCATGGTGCCAGTGAATCATGTTTGGGGCTGTACGTTGCAACAAATGATTGGGTATGGTGCAACAATGATATGATGCAAGGTATGGTATTGGGCAACACTGGGCTCGGGGCAACACTGGAACACTCGACACTGGGGCTGTTTTCTCTTGGCATGGACTCCTCCTCTCAAGAGCAAATCATGGCAGCCGTGCCCAAGATGCCGTCAAAGGGCATCGCCGTGAAGGGGTAGTAGGACTCCTGTCAAGTCACGAGGCGCTTTTTTACCATCACAGGGTTGTGGGAAATGGAAGCCACATCCGTGATTCAACGAAGTATCACAGAAGTGGGGGATAAACCTCTGGATTCCGCAACCCTGGCCCGTCAGGAAGTTCTCGAAGGCTGGATTGCTCAAGGTGGAGGGGATCTGTTTTGTGTTTACTGGGAGTTTGTTGTGGAGCATTATAAGAAGGGAGACCACCATGTGTAAGCAGGAAGGGAGGATAATTTTTTAAGCAACCCTGCATCTTAGGAGACACAAGGAGAACAAGCCCACATCCAGCATTGAATCCGAAGGAGCGGGTGATTTAAATTTCCTCCAAGTGATATCCTGCCAAAAAGCAAACTTTGCGTTGGAACATGAGATGGGGGACAAAGTAAGCAATTACCATTGTAGCACCTGTTGTGCGCCCTCATCCAGAAGTGCAATATTCATGCCTTGACTGCATTACTACAAGAATCAATTAGAGCCTGCTTTCAAATTGATTCAGCTGCGTACTGCTCCTGAACTGGCGCGCTCGCAGTGTCTGTTGCTCATCTGCTTCTTGCAGTGGCATTTCCCTCCCATTTTAGAGGGCCCCTACTGTTGAGCCAGCTTTGTTCCCCAAAGAAATCGGAAGACTTGGTCGGCCCTGCTGGTTCCCTGGGAATTTGATTGGGTCATCGAGGGCCACTCGTGTCCTCCCCTCGATACCAACAGACGATAAGTAAATATGATTAATAATATGTTGCTCCCATGGGAAACACCAATTGGGTGGCCTGTTTAAATGGAAACTCAGTTTGAACCGCCATTCAGAACCACCAGGAGGAAAGCAGCCAGTTTTCAAGCTCCCCAATCCTCAGAAGCACCCCACCCAGCCAAAGTCTCCGAGGTTGTGGGAAATTTCGTGAGTCCCTCCGTGTCCTCCCAGATTAAAATGGGACACTCCCCTGCAAATGAACCCAACGGGGTCCAACTCCCACAAAGAGATTCCTCCAAAATGGGGACGGACCCCATTTAGGTGGCTGGTTGTTCCTGTTGGATTACCACCAACAAAAGGGGGGGAGTTCCCCTAAATGACTCGCTTGTGACAAAATCACGGCGGTATGCCGCATTGACCAAAGCTCCCACGCAAAAATCCGCCTGCACCGCCGCCATGATGCTTCCCCGGGCACAGAGATCTGGCGGTCGGATCGCCGGATCGGGTCCGGGGAGAGTGCCACTCCGTGCGACAACTGGGTCTGCGTTGTTAAAGGGAAACCAGAAGGAAACCAACTATGTGGACGGGTTTGAAGGAGGAACCAGGAGCACACCAGAGTTTAGGGTGGGTTTGAGTTGGTGTTGGGCTTGGCTGGGGTGACTAAAATTAGGCCGGGTTTTGGCTGGGTTTAGGGTTGGCTTAGAGTTTGTCTTTTCGGTCCGATTCGGCCTGATTCAGTTGTTGTGAGGACTTAGGTTACACATATACTGTAGGGTTGTTGGTTTAGATTGGTGTCGTGTCCGTGTGTGTGTGTGTGTGGGATCGGCTTGGGGTTGGAAAAAGGATTGGAAAGCCGGAAGCCGAAAGCCGACGCCAAGTTTAACCCAAGCCGAGCCAAAGCACTTATCTTCTTGCTCCCGAGAAACGACCTGGCCCTTCCGTTCCAAGATCGGTTTGTCTCATGGGCAACCCCGCATTGGAAGCAAGACCCAAGAAGCCGATCTAATACCTCGGGAAAGTCGCAGTCTTCTTCAGCTCCAAGTCTTAGAAGAATTCCAAACCATTCCAAAACCTACAAGGGATCCCCAAGTCAAGTACCTCATGGTGAGCTCATTTAAACCCCAGGTGAGCGACATAAAATAGGTGCAGAGTCCCTTTCAAAGCATCTGGCTCATCCTCTCTTTGGCTATAGTTTTGATGACCACAGAGGTGTCTTCTTATCGGGGTGCGTCCCCCAAAAGTGATGGACCCTCTAAATTCGTACCCTCCCACCAACTAACATGGGCTTGTGCAAAAAAGGCCAACTAACCAAGAGGAAAGTCGTCTTTCTGCAGTCTGTGCACAAACCCATATTAGCTGCTGGGAGGGACGCTTCCGAGCCCCACCTGCCAGGCAGAAGCTATCCTTCACCGCGAATCCCACCAGCTGGCCCGTGGCAAAGCTGGTGGCCTCAAAGCTGCGCAAGCGGCGGCTAGCCGGCAAAGCATGAGATCCAGCCGGAACTACCTCAAGCTGTTTGGAGATGTAATAGCAACTAACAAGGTCCGGCAAGGCGACTAATCCACATTGATCTTGAGCGTTATGCAGCCGGCACTCCTGGATACTTGGGCAAATCGTCAGCGGCTGACGTAAGGCTTATCAAGCCTCAACAAGGCTTGGGGACACTTGTAGGTTGCCCTGAAGATTGGAAACATGAATCGACATGCTAGCCAAAAGAAAAACAGCACTCAAAGGCGCTTGGTGCGTCTCCACTGCCTTGGCTGTGAGTGAGCTCTGGCAACAAACAGCAGGCCTTTGTACAGTATTACGTAGGTCTAGTAGAAGCCTCTACCATCCTTTTTTTCTAGGTATCTTGTGTGGTAGGGGGGTTCTAATTAACAAGCCTCATATGCTGCAAGGATTTGCTCACATTCTTTTAGGGTTGAGGGTTTAGGACTGTCACCCACAGCTCGGCTGCGCACGAGTCCATCTGCCTCTTCACTTTCGTTTGCCATCCTGGCGTAGCGTCACACAAGTTGCAATCTCTGAGGCCTGCGCTCCTGAGAAAACCTGTTGATAACGTGTCCTTGTGAGCTTGCACAGCAGGGGTCCAAAAAAACTATGTACCTCAGGGTGCTACTATGCTGTTCTGCTTCGCAAGTCTCTTTGTCTCTCTCTCTCTCTCTCTCTCTCTCTACGGCGTGGTTTCTGCAAACCAGGGTCCCAGCTAACCTAAGCTGTCTCATTTGCCTCAGAACCCTTCTCACCGTGGGAAGGGCAACCTGGGCACTGGTGCCATGACAAAGGAACAGGTGGCATGCCTTGAAAGTTCTGAGGTCCAGACATCAATGACTTGGCATATCAAGGGCCCGTCACCAACGCCTTGTTCATGGCCCTGAGGCATCGATTCCAGGGGGACCAAAGTTGTATCCATTCCCCCGCAAGTTGCCCCAAGTGGCCATGAAGGCAATGGTTTTAAAGCGCCGCGCAGGCGAAAGGGCAGCTTCCCCGGTTGACTATCCGCCACTTGCCTCCGGGCCTTACCGCACGAAGGCCAATGACCCAGCCTCATTGGCTGGTACTTCCGGTGCAAATCGCAGGGAACGGCACCTTCCACAGGGTCGGTGCAACAAAAATGCGTCAGAAACCATACCTGGCCACATTTGAAACGAAAACCAAAACGAGGTTAAATTAAAGAATTGGTGTTTGAACATGTTCAAACAGGGTGGCCCAACTCTTCTGCGCCACACATGCAAAGCAAATGTGGGGCATGGACCAGTGCCACGAGGGGAGCTGAGGCTGCCCGAACGCGTCTCGCCGTGAACCACAGGAAGCCACCACTCGAAATTTGTCACAAGGATCCGGGCGACGAATTCCGGCATGATCAAGCGGACTGGGAAAGCTAGGCTTATTGTTTCTTGCTGCTCAGAATGACCTAGGGTTTTGGGAATGAACCTGGTTAAAGGAAACCATAGGGGTCCTGTTCAACTCATTCCCTATCGAACCAGCAGGTTGTTTGGACAACATGTCCAGCGTCGGACGGCATCTCCCTGGGCGCTCCGGCTGCAGCTGGTGCTGGGCAGCCACAGATTGCTGGAGCCTGGCCACGTTCGGCCGATGGAACCAAGCGCGCTGTGTCTACAAATGGAAAGCCCTGGATGTTGTTTTTTTCATTTCAAACACGACCCAAAAGGGGATCGCCCCAGTTTTTGGCGAAATCCCGGTGTGGCATCATGGTCAAAACCGATTCCGTGGGTCGTTGTCACGGGGTCTTTATGTGTACCGCACATATGCACCAGCTCTTTTGTTTTGGAACCTCAGCCCAGTTCTCAACAACTCTGGAGCCTATCTGGGCAAAGACCCCAAAGCTTTCAGCTGGGGAAAAAGATGGAAATCAAGAAGGGGGAACCGGCAATGAGCGGCGGGCTCCCCACCATCAATTGCGGTGTTACTGACAATGCTGGCTCCCCACGACCACCAGGATCGATGAGACGCCTGTAAACGTCAATTCCCCCTTCCTTTTGTGGCTGGTGACATGGATTGAGTCTGATGGCACACAACCGCGAGAGAGAGAGAGAGAGAAGAGTGAGAGGCGCCTAAACGTGTGAGGGCAGCCATTTGAGTGTTGCTTTAATGACCCTCCTCAATCAAAATCGCCTTGGAGCGACTGGACAGGTCTGATATATGATCCAGCGGTCTATCCCATACTGATGCAGAATGATAAATGCCATCATCATATTTTTGCTCAACATACATGTGCCATGGTCAAAACTGTTTATGTGAGCCTATGGTTGCTTTTATTAGAATCCTTACATTGGTTGTCCAAAATACGTACTGAAGGGTACGTGACCATCCTTACTATACTACCCCCCCGCAAGCAATCCTGTTGATCATGGGCGCGCATGCACCTTCCAACCCAATGTTTCCCGCAGAAATGAAATGTCCTCCCTTGTCTGGTGGGCAGGCGTCTGCTCCTCAAATCTGGCATTGATGACAGCAAACACTTTCCCACAGGCGTTTGACAAGGCCAAGCGGCACACAGCCTGTGCAAATGGCTTGGGGACCCCCAAAATATTTATCTTCCTGGTGGTTTCCCCAAATACAAGCACCCAAAGCGATTCCACAAGCAAAAAAAACGGCCAGTGTCCTGCCTGTGTCAAGGAGCACCTGGAAGCTCCGCTTGCTTTGGCCTACCAAGACCTGGCCGGGACCGAGCAAACCTCAGCTCTACCACGGGGGGGAGTCGCCAGTTCCTCCACACACATCACGAAACCTTGGCATTGGCTCAAAAGGTGATGCCCAGTGCCATCAAAAGGGGAATGCGGGCCGGAGGGGGGCCTGGGCCACTTTGGAGGCGAAAGGGAATTCTGGGCGACCTGCCTATCAAGCTTACCACAGCAACTAGCCATGTCGGCAGAGGAGTAAACATTGGCCATTGCGCATTTCGCTTCCACCAGGCGCCCAAATTTGGGGCATCAAGAACCCCTCCAAATTGGGCCGTTAAGAAACTCTCCCTCTCCACGTCAAGTTCTTCTGTTTCTCTTCCCAACCTATGGGGAAATATACGAAATCCCCTCCGTTGAGGACCCCCCCTTTGCCCCCGCAGGTCTCCCTTTTGCAGGCCTCGCCGTAGTAGACGGGCGACTTTGTCAACGAGTGGTCCTTGCAGTCACAAGAGGACCAGCTCGCCGCACGGGCAAGCCAACAGAGAGCTTGACCCCCCCCCACTTTATCCCTGGTCTACCCAGTCATCATGTTGATATCCCGACTTTACATATCACACTGATCGAGGAACCGCAAAGTGAATTCAGAACAACAAATACTGATCTGCGATGAAGGAACAAATCAAGCGTTGAGTTTGGCTGCTCTCTGGTCTTCTCCAACAGAATTTGTACACAACACAACCAGTTGTGGTGTCAGAATCAATGATGAAACGACCTCTTGGGGGAGCTTCTTTTCTACGCAATTACGGGCCTCCCCACAAAAGCGGGCTGGCAATCTTTGCCTTTGACAAGGCTCTGTCCTCCGGGTTGACCGCGCTCACCACCTGACCCGTCAAGGGAATGACCTCGAGGCCGGGCTCTTGACGCGCAGTGACCTCCTTTGGGTCGCCTCAAAACAAATTGATCCAATGCCAGCAGCCAGCTACAAGGAAGAGCAGGCGCAGTTCGGGTTTCGAGACGTCCAAACCTGGTGGCAAAACCTTGGTGCCTGGTTCCTGAACTCCCGATAATCCTGGAATTAGGGTGTTCCTGTCGGAGGATCACGAAGTATGCAACATTGCAAGCCAACTATCATGTCATCATCCAGCCAAGCATCCAAAGGGCCGGAGTCGCTCGACTCGGATCCACAATCATCGAGGATCTAGGCGCTCTAGCTGAAACTGGTCAACAGGACTGCTAGATCCTCAAAGGTTGAAAATCTGCAGGGTACCCGACAGTGCAGGGCCGAAAGTTAAGGTTGGGCCAACACGCTGTTCCAACTTGTTTAAACACCCATGGTTTAGGCACCTTCAGTTCCGCTTGACAAGTGGCCAGGGTCCTGTTCGAACATATCTTGCAAGAAGCCCAAACCAAGCCAAGCTGCCACAGCTGCTTCTGTGATCACAGCTGCTTCTGCCCAAATGCTGACAAAAGCCTCAGCTGATCTGGCACTTAAGTTTCAAGCATACCGTCTCAGCCTCAAAAGGGGCCGCCCCCTTTTACTGCCCTTTGAACAATGCAATGACTGTATATTCTATGCGTGAAGAATACAAACGAGGCACGAAGTTGCCAAGACTTATGGTCAAAGCCGAGTAGCAAAAGCGGCGGTCAACTGCATGCCGCTGCGCATTTCTCAGAGCAAGCAGGTGGAAAGCTATCACACAAACAAACGGCTTCAAACGAACAATCTTGTTCCACCATGTTGCGCTAGGCGGGTGTGTGTTTTCTTGAGGGAAACCTTTTTGGGGTTGTTTGAAAGGGAAGCCAAAAGGAAACCGCCCATTTTAGAGACGCGCCTGCTTGTCTCTGGCAAGGTGTGAGTGTGAGCCGAAACGGCCACGCGTCATGTTGAGAGCCTCAGGCGCCTGCTTTCGGTACTGTAAATGAAGAAACTACGACTGCAACCTTTGCAAACTGCACGGCTTGACCAGTCAACCAAATATGCCACTGGCGCCTGCTGTCTGCGCTTAGGCTTCTATATCCTTGATATGGGTGTGTCTCAGAATTAGGGGACCTCAAACAAGTCGGTGTCCTTTTGATTTGATTGAAAATCAACCCGAAACGGTACAATCAAAACAAGACGGGCCCATATAGTCCATTCAAAGTAGCAAGTAGCAAATCATCCATCTACGGCCATCCAGTCATTCAGTTCTCAGCTCACAAAGCCTCACTTGACATCATACCACGTCAACAAAGGACAACGGCAGGCAACAGCCAAGCGGGATGGTCGGCAAACACAAGCACGGCATGTTTGTACCCCGCTTTGCGATGAGCACACCTAGTGCAACCTACACTGCCCAAACTACCGGTGCTGCCTCTTGTTTCGGTGCACCGCTGTGGGGCATTACCTTCTCGGGTGAAACAAACTATGAAAGAAACGTCGGCCGAAGGCAGAACGTGGACAGCCTCGGAACGGGCCCAAGCCTGTGGTTTGGCAAACAAACTGTTGAGACTGAGACTGGGAAGCAGGAAGCAAAGGCGATTCTCGCATTTGCTTGCCGGAGGAGGGAGCAAGCAAATGTTCCTGCTCCTGCTGTCATGCTACGTAGCACAAGTCATAGTCACCTGCACTCTGTCACCGTGGTCAGGTTTTTGAGGCTCTGACGAACAGGGAACGCGCCGATCAGGTGGGCGCTTTGGACCAGAAACTGCTGTCCTTGACGGTGATCGTCGACTCCTGATGAAACAGATCGAATCTCTCTCAAATGGAAGTGGTGTACTTGTCATGGGGGAGTGGATTCAGAAATTGCCTGTGCAGGCAGCATTGTGGATGCAATGCACACCCCAAAGCCATGACACGTTGAAGCAGCATCTGGTACCTTCTCGATGAACACAACATGGCGGCAAAGTGCTGTAATCTGATAAACCTGATGGTTTGTTGCAGTGATTCAGCCGTTGCACGCGAAAACCCAATTTTCCGTATGTCTTCCCGTAGATTTCCCGTTGCCGCGCGTGCTTTTGCTTGCGTTTGCAAGTGCATTCGGCTGTGTCAAACCCGCAAAGGAAGAGTAGGGTCAGTCTCAGGCGCACTCATGGAGACAGCGTTGTGGCTGCGACCCGTCTGTTGGTAATTGTTCCGTGTCTATTTAGCATATGGAATCTGTTTCGTGCAAAATAGTGGGCTCGGGTAATAGTCGTTTCCATTAGAGTGTATATAGAGAGACTTGTCTGTAAAAAAACAGTGGGGCAGAGGTTTCCTGGCACAAGTCAAGTCGGTGTTGGATGGTCATCATTTTGCTAGCTATCGTGGACGTGAACATGATTTTGTCGCGACACGTGTCCATAATCACAGGCTTACCTGGTCCATTCTCGGATTTTGTTCCTCCTCATCGCTTTACAGTGGCTGCGGTGTTCTTTCCGTCTCACACGTGGCCATGGTGCCCCTGTCACCACAAAGCCTCTAAAGCGCATGCATTGTCATGAGAATCGCGCGATGCCTTGGTTGACTTTACAGGGAGCCCACACCAGTCTACTCACCCTGAACCTGTGGATGTGTGACCGAATGACCAGCCCTGCACCTTGTTGACGTTTTGGGCGAAGGCACAGCTCACTTGACGCGAACCTGGAGAAATGCCGCACAAGAATTATCGTATTAGCATGTGTACTATATGTAAATATTAGGAATCCATATTCTGCCTTGCAAAAGTCCAGCATCCCCTTGCCTGAGGACTCCCCAAGAAAGCAAACGCCAGGTGCTTTAGTCATTGAACCCATTCCTCCTTCCACATTGGCGGCTCTTCCGGGTAAGTTCCCTGTGGTTTTCCCTTCATGTCTCGTTGCCTCCCCTTGGATGCTTTCTGATGCCCTCTGTGTCCATTTGGTTTCCCTGTGGTTTTCCTTTGGATTTTCTTTAATTTCTTTGGTTTCCCCTTTGGTTCTTTCTTGTTCCCTCTGCTTCCCTTTAGTTTCCCTCTCGTTTCCCCTTGGCTTCCATCTCGCTCTCTTTGTTTCAGAGTTGCTTCCCTTTGCTTTCCCTCTGGTTTCCCTTTAGTTTCCCTTTGGCTGCTTCTGGTTCTCTCTGCTTGACGTCTTGGATTGTTTCTGGGTTCCTCCGTTTCCCTTTGCTTTCCCTCTGGTTAGATTCTCTCTGGCTTCTTTCTGGTCACCTCAACTGGCAGTCCTTAAGGTTGGCCGCCAGCGGCCTCGGCTGCGCCTGCAGATCCGAGCGAAAGTCGCCACCCCCGCACTGCCGCGAGCTGGCCCAACCCAGCCAGGCAAAGAACTGAGTTTGTTGCTGGCTGGAAAGGAAAGTAACGGCAAAACGATTCTTGCGTGTTTTTTCTAAGTTGCAAGAAAGAATGGAAACCCACCAAAAAAAGAAAGAGTAAAAACAGTGCGACTCCCGATTTGTGTGCGACTGTCTTGTCAATTTCAAGACGATTGATTCCCTTGAAGTGTCACAGACAGGAGCCCTCCTGTTTCCTGCGAGCCGCGTGAATGGACGGTCTCGCGTTTGAGCCTTTGTAAAGCCCAGCCGGCATGACCAAAGAGCACATCTGGCCACAAGGAATCAGAGCAAGGCATAGAGAGGCACGGCTTGAGTCGCTCACAGCTCAAAGTACAGGTGTACCACTTCGGCCCTGCACTACCACTCCGCAACTCTACACGGTCACAAACAGGCAAATCCCTGTCTACGGAATCAAGTACGTGCCCTACCAGAAGGATTCCCTACTACGTTTGTGAGGTGAAGTACCCGATCCTTAGCGCATCAAGACTACTGGATCGAGGTTACAACCTGAAACTGGACACACAACACACTTGGCCATCAAGCGGATCTACATTCCCAAAAATCACGAACTACAACCACTAATGGGCCACGACGGAGTCATGAGAGCTATAGCACCACTGACTCACACTGACCAAGGGCTATGAAGGATCCTTCGAGGAAACACTGGCAACTCGATGGTGACAAGCGCCCACGAAAAGCGCTCTTCACACCAGAAGACTCCGGATGCCCAATACCTACAGAACAACTAGACGACTGGAGACAAACTACAGTTGTCAGAACTGGCAAGGAACCGGAGATACTACAAGACTTCATGAAGCAGATTTCCATAACCGAACTTCACAAACGACTACCCGGTGACGACTGGGTTGGTGAAACTAGGTTTAGGAGAAAGATGAATCCTACACAAAGGATCACAGGCAAAACTACAATCGCACGACAAAGCTCAAGCGCGCAACCTGAAACACAACGAACAACTACAAACAGGACATCACTCACAACGCATACTCCACAAAAGATTTGGAGGCCTAAAGCACAACCAACACAACCAACGAGCATTGACATACCGGCACCCACATCCAAAATAACTAGACCACCGACACAACAAGAAGACAAGCAAGACTACTGGGAACGAGAAGGAGAACACTGGATCAGACACCACTTGGTACCACGCACTACAATGTTCATTCCAACAGATGGTCCAGGACACCCACCAATTGACTCGCTTGAACCTTACAGAACTACAATCACCACCAACAACTTCAATGAAGTCAAACAACACAAGGACGACTGGACCACAGCTGGTAACACTCACCTACCTTACACATGGACCGGCACAACACGGTTCACTGTGAAGGAAGGATACCACTACATGGGTTACAACATCCTTGCAGATTTTGAACCACACGTAGAAGCACAACGAGCCAAAGGACTACGACAACAACCTACACCACGGGAAGTTCATGAACATGAACTCACACATCTTCCCTACAGAGATTGGTGTCCAACCTGTGCACAGGGAAGAGGACGACAAAACAACTACAAAACACAACAAACACAACAACCCGTCATTCAGGTCGACTTCGCCTACATCAAGACCAATCAGGAGCCGCGACCTACAGCAGCACAGACAGCAGTTGACGTAACTACACAACTGTGCATGGCATGTCTCGTTCCGGACAAGTCCTCAATGATGGACTACATGATCAACAACCTAGAAGCATTCATTCTGGAACGCGGTCGCACAAGTGGAATGCTACAAAGCGACAACGAGGACACACTCAATACACTACTCCAAGCCACAGCAGCAAAACTAGGATGCATGACATCACCGGCCTGCAGCAGTAACAGCCAAGGAAGTGTACAACGACTACACCGAACACTACTTGGCCAAATACGCACCTTCCAGGCACAAGTCGAACGCAACTACGGGGTCACACTCAACGTGACACATCCCTTACTACCATGGATCATACGACACGCTGCGTGGACTATCAACCGCTACGTAGTACACTCCGACGGCTACACCAGCTTCGAACGACGCTGGGGACGCAACTACGAACGAGCAATCGTAGAATTCGGAGAAACACTACTGCACATGCCACCACAGCACAAGAGTCTACCTAAAGCCGAACTACGCACGCAGAAATGCATCTGGTTAGGTAAGGTTTCCGAAACAGGTGAAAACTACGTGGCTACAGAACAAGGAGTGACGAAAGTACGCACAGTGAGGAGACTACAACCGGACTTCAAATACGACCTCGCACTACTGGACAAGATAACCGGAACTCCATAGTTACCGAGAGGTAACACCTACGACCCGAAGTTTACGACACACCTCGAAACTACGGCGCTACGACCACCGTCGCAATCTCCACGACCACCTCAACGTGACGCAGGACAACAGACTAACGCTGAAGACGACGTACCACAACCACCACCGAGCAAACAAGGCGAACTACTGCAAGACTATAGTGTTACCTTCGACGAGACCTACGACAGGATCTTCAAATTCGCAGCTACCGGACTCACCAATGGCTACATCAGCCCAGCTGAAACATCGCAGCTTTTAAGCACTAGCAGGGCACGAGCCGCCCCAGCTCAAGCAGCACAACTTGTCAGTACTCGTGTAGTACACGAGTAAAGCTTCATCCCATGATAACACATAACCTTCCGCGAAACTTCCGCTCGCCCTTCCGTGGTCTTCCGCGACCACAGCGCCGTAACACCGAATATGCTTTCGTATTCAGTCCTTACAAAAAAAAGCCATTGGGGGTTTTGGTCGATCCTTATATATATATATGTATGTATGTATACATATAATACATATCTATATCCTTGAAACATTAAGTGTATACATGAGATACTCTATAATGATTCGAATAGTCCATAATGACATATACACAAACATCAATGATCAACATGCGCATGATTCCGACATAATGTTCGAACCAGCTTCTTTTGATGTTGGTTTTGTGTTGCAGCCAACCATAAAGGCCAGTTGGAAGCCAGCAGTAGTCCGGACAAGCCGAAAGTATCCGACAATTGTTGTTCAAGAAGCGCGCGGCCATCCAAAGGCACATCTTCTGACAGCAACTCCGGTTGCACACATGTCATCATGTGGTGTCAACAAAGCTGATATCTTACAGCAATTGAATCTCATCCTGAATCTTGTTGCTGTCACCGACGCATGTTGGATAACCCCAAGTGATCACCTTGCCATCCTGACGGATGGCAGCAAACGCAGGCACAGCGGCGCGAATCTCTCGGACACCAATCAGGTGCTCTCGCACTGCGCTGCTATCACCGGCAGACGTTGGTTTACCCCAAGTGATCACTGTGCCGTCCTCAAGGATGGCAGCAAACGCACTTGCGGTGGCTTGAATCTGACGAGAATCAGTCCGCGACCGCTTTGATGCTCCATGGAAGGACAGCTGCTCTCGCACTGCACTGCTGTCACCACCTTCTTCTGGATCACCCCAGGTGATCACTGTGCCATCCTCACGAATGGCGGCAAACGCAAACATGGCTGATTGTATTTGTCGGACACCAGTCAGCTGCTCTCGTACTGCGCTACTGTCACCGCCACCTTCTGGATTGCCCCAGGTGATCACTGTGCCATCCTCACGAATGGCAGCAAAAGCGTGCCGGGTTGCTTGAATCTGTCGGACACAAGTCAGCTGATCTTGCACTGCGCTGCTGTCACCGCCACATTCTGGATTGCCCCAAGTGATCACTGCGCCATCCTCACGAATGGCGGCAAACGCAAACCAGGCTGCTTGTACTTCTAGGATGCCAATCAGCTGATCTCGCACTGCATTGCTGTCCCCACCATGATTGCCAATCAGCTGATCTCGCACTGCATTGCTGTCTCCACCATGATTGCCATAACCCCAGGTGATCACTGTGCCATCCTCACGAATAGCAGCAAACGCCTTCATACTTGCCTGAATCTTTTGGACACCAGTCAGTTGCTCTCGCACTGCACTGCTGTCACCGCCAAATTCTGGACAACCCCAGGTGATCGCTGTTCCATCCTCACGAATGGCAGCAAACGCCATCTCAGTTGATTGAATCTCTCGGACGCAAGTCAGTTGCTCTCGCACTGCACTGCTGTCACCGCCAAAATCTGCATAACCCCAAGTAATCACTGTTCCATCCTCACGAATGGCAGCAAAGGCCTTCCTGGCTGCTTGAACCTGTCGGACACAAGTTAGTTGCTCTCGCACTGCACTGCTGTCACCACCACATGCTGGAGAACCCCAGGTAATCACTGTCCCATCCTCACGAATTGCAGCGAAAGCAGTTTCAGCTGCCTGAATCTGACAAACACCATTCAGCTGCCCTCGCACTGCGCTGCTGTCGCCCCCGTTGCTAGGATCACCCCAAGTCACCACAGAGCCCCCAGCAACATGCAAAGCAAATGCCGAGTTTGTTGCGGCCAGCTTGACCTCTTGCACAATTGCATCGACCGTGTCGTTCTCCTCTAGGCCCACTTGACTCAAAGTGGATTCCAAGTCCAGCGGCCGGCCTCTCAGGGTTCACTCTGCTCAAGGATTGGTCTTGGGATGATTGATCCAGGACCCGAAAGGGCGGAGTGTCATTAGAGGGGCCCTGGGTTCTGTCCTTTCCTGTTTTTAGATCCTGCATTTTGCCGGCCTCGCACCAACAGCCTCAAAAAAGGGAGCTGGAATTGCTTCTGTGCCATGATCTTCAGCTCACTCCCTCTCGACTCTGGCGCCAGCGTCGCGGTACAAGCGCGCCCACTTGGCAAGCAAACCTTCACGTTCATGACGCTTCGCACTTGGCTCTGCGCACTGTGCCCCCTAGCTGTACGGAAAAGCCCTATTTATTTTTGACTCATTGGTTGCTCTGTTGTTTCGGGTGTTGGGAGGGAAAATGCTTTTCACATGTCTTCCACACACTCCGAAACTCTGGATCTTGATCCAGCCGAATGAAGCCGCTGCAGTTGTTGTCATGAACGCTGAATGAGCAAAACACAGACAAATCAAAACCGCAAAGTGAATTCTGGAGACAAACCCGCTGTGCCAACAGAGAGGTGAGTCGCTCGGGCAAAACTACCTCTTATGGGGCCATCCGGGGCCGCCTGGCCCAGCCTGGGAGCCGGCCGGGCGTTGGCTCACGCGGCTCCTGGCCAAGAGTTTCAAGACCGGCCAGGGGCACGGGTGTGTAGTACTTGTTTTGTGAGGCTACCCCTGCTCAAAGAGAACCCAAAGAGGAAACCCGCAATCTTGAAGCTCCTCTATTTCACAAACCCCCTATAACTTCGTTTCTCGGACGTTGGCTCAACGGCACCTCGCAAATGGGCGCTCGGCGATCTTGCCGCACGTCCGCTCCACCAGTTGCTACCGGCTTTGGTTTCCTAAAAGGTGTACCGTGATGAGGTGTCATTCGATCAGGGTCCCGTTCCAGGTAAATGCCCAGCGCCCTGGCTTTAGACGCTTTCGCCCACGGTGGTTTGCCATTGAGGGTGTGGGGGGGGGTCATTTGCCCACGTGGGTCGCTGGACGTAGAAGGCCTACACCTCGAAAAACTTTGCCATTGTTCAAGGTAGAGTTTGTGTTCTTCGGCAGCACGCGCCCAGCACCGAATTCAAGAGAGCACATCCAGCAAAGGAGAATGAGCGACGCAAGTCCTCCAATAGCCGAAAGTGAAAGAAGAAATGATACAAATCATGTACCGAATGCCGCAGGTACACACTTCTGCCAAGTCTGCTGGATCTGCTGGAAATGATAGAAGCACCACTAGAAGAAAACCTGAGTGCTGATGCATATGTTGCTACTGAGCCACAGGTCAATCGGTTCTGCTGCAAAATAGGTTCATGTTCGTTTGGCCAGCTCTTGCCCCAGATGGCCTGTATCTTCTATCTACGGGGTACGGCTGGGCGGCGTCCGCAGTGTCCGGGCCCTCCGTGATGTACTGCGCGGCTGTGGGGGTGTCCAGCTTCGGATGCCGCGGCGACCTTGGCCTCGGCACCTGCGAGTCGCTCAGCGTCCTCCTAGTTGGTGCTTTGGAGCCCGGTGGTTTGGTGGTTAAGGGGTGGTTTCCAGCACAGCCTGTACAAGAGCCCGGGCTTCAAATGACCCAAACCACCAATCAAGGGAAACCTGAGGAAAGGCCCAGAACTATCTGAGACATATTTGACAACCCAAGCAAACCTGACATCCAAAGCAGGGCCCGCGGCCCTGGACATACAAATCTTCAACTCCGACGCAATGCACAATGAACGAAGCGTCCATTTCTAAGACATAAGTTGTGACATAAGGAAGCCTGCAAGAGGCACCTCGTGCAAAACGCATCTTCGTTCAAGCTGCAGGGGTTGGCATGTGTGGGAAGCAAATCTCATCCATTGGCTGCAGCTGAGCAAGACTCAGGAACCTCCCCGTGAACGTAAGAACCTTCCAGCTGAGAGAGGAAGGTTCGAATCAAACACCGAAAACTAGGCTGAATGAAGACAAGCAACTACAAGCCACCTCTCCTTGCCCTTTAAGGGGTCACTTGATGGCCTGCCAAGAGAGAGAGAGAGAGAGGGAGGGAGGGAGGGAGGGAGGGAGGGAGGGAGGGAGGGAGGGGGAGAGAGAGAGAGAGAGAGAGAGAGAGAGAGAGAGAGAGGGAGGGAGGGAGGGAGGCCGGTCTTAATCTTCATTTGAGACCCATAGTGCAATCGATCTGGAACACGTGGCTTTGCGCAGAACATCCCATGCATGGTGCAATGGAACGTACAGTCATGCGCGAGAGCTAGGCTTCCCCTGGCCAATCGAAGCCCTGGTCAGCCCAGGGCAACCCTTCCTTCAAACTTGCTTGGGGAAACCAAAGGCAAGCCATTCCCAGAGTCTGCCAGCCCAAAGCGTGGCTTGTCAAAAGTTCGGGCTCTGCGAGCGCCGGGCCTTCCCTCCCCCCAAGCAAACCCCCTCCAATCCAGGTGCCTCGGGGCCTGGGCCTGCGAGAGGCGAAAGGAGCGCCAGGTGCGCCGTCAGATGGCCGTGGCTCAAAAAAAATGTACCCATGGCTAGGTAAATGGAAACAAAGGCCAAAGCTGCGTGACCCTAGCTCTTAAATTTTGAGCCACACCCAAATGGTCATGGTGTCCTTAATGGACATGGGTGTGGTAGTCAAAGATAGAACTCACCCCAAAATGGCTCGCCATTTCGCGCGGTAAATCGAGAAAGGCTAAACCCTGCCCTCTGGCGGTTTACATTTGACCCGTGCACACGTGGGAATTAGATGAGACCGTCATCCGTCACCTCTATGTTCTAATGAGCGAACTAGTGTTCTACTTGGACTTTGGTGAGTGCGGCAACGCGTTTTCCGTTTTTCCAAGGGAACATGGGTGTGAGCATTCATGCTCCTATGAAAACTTGGAACGTGTACCCGTGGTCTCTGCGGAAATTTCGGAGTAGTGTACTCACGGAGTTAGGGGTAGAAATTGGGTGAGAGTAGCCATGTTCCAAAAAAAAGCCGAGTGTAGTCATGTTCTAGTGGGAATTTGGTGACTGCCCCCATGCTCTGCAGGTAGGATTTTGGTGAGTTTATCCATGTGAGGCTTCATGTTCTAAACGGATGTTTCGTGAATATCATCATTTCTACAGAACACGACATTGAAACAGTGACCGTTTGACCCATGAACCGAGGCAACCCCCCGTCCAAGTCCCAACGTCCCATGCAGGTCCACGCCCAACGCTGGCCTCCGGCGGACTTGACGACCCTGCGCGGCGGGAAACGGCCCCACGGGTTTTGCGGTGGGAGATGTCTCCACTTGGTGCCGCCGCAGTTGGGCCATAAAAAAGGCTTGAAGTCAAGCCTTGAAAAGCCCAAAACCACCCGGCACGAAGTTCTTGGTTCAGTCTTCAAGCAAGGGCCTCCACTCTCAGGGCACCCCCACGGGCAAGCCCTACGGGCGCCTGTGGAAGATAGGGGTCTGCACCTCCTGCAGTCCCAGGCTCCTCAATTCCTCAGCCTGGGATGCCCAGCGGAAAGCGCGGCAAATCGAGGGCTGGGAATCGCACGGGCTTCCCTCGGACCTGGAAAGAGGTGCTAAAGAAGTGTGGAGAAGAAACCTTGCAGAAGAAGAACCAACATGAGACCTTTCTGCCAGAGTGTGAAGGCTCATCTTGCTATGGTCAAAGCTGTGTTGTTCATGCATCTTGAAAGTAAACATCTGTGCTGCCGAGATCCGGGCAAAACCAATGGGACTTGTTGCATTTGCTCGAAAGAACCACCAGTGGATCCAGTGAAAAGGATGGGGGATCAAGAAAGAATGCACCTTTCAAACACGCTTCCAGCTTCCGTTTGCCTCCCGTGTTGCCAGGGCCCTTGCCAACTTCAGATGTTGCACAGCCAAACGGAACTCCTCTCCCGGAACCCAACCGCAGTTCCACGTTTCCGTGGTGGACGCCCTTTCAAAAGCCCTGCTTGCCGTCCAAAAACGACACGCACCCCGCAAACCCCTCCCCCCCAGCCCCTCCCCCGGGCGTCCCTGCGACGCTGTCTGCGCTCGGGGAGTGGCCCGCCCCGGTGAGCCCTGGATCGCCTCTGGATTTAGCCGATGCCGACCGGATCTGTGCAAGGGGAAGCTTCTTGTCCATTCTTCCCCAAAAGTACCATTCTTTTCAGACCATCCAAAAACCCGTTTGTTTTTTACGGCCGGTGATTGAAAGAATGATGGTTGAAAAGAATGGGGGAACCAACCCCTAAAATGCTTGAATTCAACAGTCCCCCTTGAATACGAACCAATGAGATCCAAATCTGTGGTCTGACAGTAACAAATCCATTCCATGGAGAGTGCGGATGCTCAAACACGCACAAACATATCCAATGTCAGAAATAAGACAAGCTCATGGAAGAATCCTCCATAGGCAAGCTTTTTTATTCCTGGCGCCAGCTTGTTATCAATTGCCCCTCCCACCAAACCATGGAAGTGCGCAACCTGGTCTGTGCGGGTCTGCCGGAAGGGTACGCGCACACACCCCAGTGTTCGAGCCATCCAAATCGAAGCGAGCGAGATCCTGAGACCCCCGGCCCCGGTGAAGCTGGCCCTAGGGAAGCAGCACGAGACGGGAAGCCGAGCGAGAAACCCGAGAAACCGAAGGGCGCCACTCGAAGGGCGCCGGTTTCTTTCAGCCTGGATCCTTTTTGTTCAGAGGCATCAAGGCTGAGAGCGGGTGGTTGGTGCTTGGAGTCCGGGTGCCTGAGAAACGCAGGTGATCACCAGGAATTTTGTTTTGGGATGGATGGAAACCTAGGATTCACAAATCCCTGGGTGCTTGATAGTGCCCATGATATTTAGGAATCTTCTCTCTGGGAGGGCAAACAAACCCCGATCAATCCCCCGGTGATTACTCCATCATGACACGGAACCAACTACCTACGACGTGCACGCAGCTAAGAGAGACACCTTGGGCTGAAGTGTCTTGAGCCTGGAGCTTGCATCACCCGAAGGCGGTGCCTTTTGCAACCAGCGCCCTATGAGGATAGCAAGTGGCAAAGGGCACTTTAAAAAAGCAGAGGGATGTGTCTTTATGGGGGAACCTTCTTTTTCAGCCCGCCGAGCCTTTTTCCCCAGCTGAAAGCTATGGCCAAATAGGCGAGGAGGGTTCCAGGGACGGTTCCGGGTTCCGCAGGGAGCGGGTTCCAGGGCGGAAGGTGTTGGGCAAGTTTGAGTTGGATGAAGGCTGGTTTAGGGGGGTTGCTTTAAAGGGTAGGTTTAAGGTAGTGTGGGGTGGGTGTTTGGCTGGATTTAAAGTGGGTTCAGGTTTGGGAAGGCAAGTGTAGGGTGGGATTAGGGCTTGTGCAAAAAGGCTCATGGGCATTTAGGGTGGGTTTAGTGTTGGCTTGGGGTCGGTTCGGGGCGTGTGTTGGTTTAGTGTGGGCTTGGGGCTGGTTTTTGGTTGGTTAAGGTGGCTTGGAGTAGGTTGTGGGGTGTATGGCTGTTTTTGGGTTTGGTTCAGGGGTCCACGGTTTGGGGTAGCTTAGGGTCGGGTAATGTTGGCCAAGGGTTGAAAAATGGCTTGATTTTGGATTTAGGGTTGTTCGTTTGGTTTCGTGTGTTGATTAGGTGGGGTTTGGGGGATTGGCTAGTTTTGGGCAGGTTCAGGGCTGGTCCACCTCAACCAACCTTTCCCCTACCCTTTTCCCACCCTCAAATAACCTCCCTTCCAACCTCGACCCAAGACAATCCTAACCCACCCTAAACCCAACCCAAACCATCCCTACCAACCTTTCTACGCTACTCTCCCTCCAAGCCACCCTCAACCCTAAACCAAAAAGCCCACCGTAGATCCATTCTAAACGCTGCCTTAACCCTTCCTTGGCTTGCGGTTAGGGTTAGGGTTGGGTAAGGTTAGCTTAGGGTGGGTTGGGGTTGGTTCAAGCAATATCCGCCAAGCAGGCTCATGTTGCTTACTCACACCCACACATAATGCAAGTTATGCGCGCTCGTTCCCATACTGCTGGGCAGCCCTGCCAGCAGGCCTTGCCCAACAATCGCTTTCCTAAACCAAACAAATCCCCCACAAAAGGCATCACTCGGAACTAGCCCCCCCTTCACCCCCTTCCCCCTTCTCCAAAAAACTGGGCTGTTCAAAATGGAGGCTTCGCCAATCAATAATCCACAATATAGGGAAGCCACTGCAAAGGGAGTTTGCTGCATAACTTATGGTAAAACAAATATGGATCGCCTTTGAACAGCCCAGATCAAGCCCGCGAAAAGAACCTTGGACAGCACTGCAAAGGATCTGCAATCCCCAGTACCAAAGGCAGACCGCGACCTTGGAGCCCAAAACACAAAAAACAAAGAAGACCAACAACAAACGACAAAAAAACACCTTCAGAGAAAAAAAAGGAAGAAGAACAAAAAAAAGAGAGAAAAAACACGCTCCCAAGGCCGGCCCAAAGCCCCCGGGGGCGGCGCGGTGTGCTCCCGGGAGTTCAGGTGATCCAGGCCGTGGCTCTCCATCTCCAGCTGCGCCAGCTCCGCCTGGCCCTGCCGCGTCTTCTCGCTCGCGCCACGTCTCTTCTGGCTGGGGGGTTCCCCGGAAAAGCTAAGATGGCCATAGGTCAATCCCGTACCCCCAGTGAACATCCCAATCCCACCTAAGTAGACTAAAATGGGTGGTGCACCTACCCCAGAATGGTACAATTGGTTTTGACCCACAGCCATATGAAACGCTTGCTGATGCGAGAGATGGGAAGGAGACATGGAATGACAACGATTTATACCTTTTCAAAAGTGGATGGGAATGAGAAATGGAATGACCCAGATTGATTCCGGCCCAAATGTGGTTTCTTTTAAGGGAGTCCCCGGGTTCGTTGCCTCGTTCCCTACTCAGCACCAGCAGGAAAAGGGGGAAACAAGGGGAGGGATTTGGGAAATGTGCAGCAAAAAAAGACGAGGTGAGGGGCGAAGGAGTCGTATTGAAACCTCTGAGGGGGATCTCCCATGGCAGTGTTTGCCGCACCTATTTGTGACTGGGACTGTCCCCGACTGACCAAAAGTAGGGGCAAATAGAGTCATTGCACAATGGTCTGTGTCTGTGTCCGTGTCTGTGCCTGTGTCCGTGTCCGTGTCAGTGTCTGTGTCTCTGTGCGTGCGTGTGTGTCTGTGCGTGTGCGCGTGCGTGTGCGTGCGTGTGCGTGGGTGTGCGCATGCCTGCGAGTGTGCATCCGGGTAGGTACGCGTGCGTATGTGATAGAGAATCTGGCTTTGCGCTGAACTTTAAATCCGCTCCCAAAGCTGGAGCGCTGCCAAGAACAAACGCAACAAAGAGGGCTTGCAGGGTGCTCTTCTAAAATTCGAGTGCCGCTTTGTTCAAACCACCCCGCAACCCGCGTCCCAAATTTGATCGCCGCCTTGCCCATGCCTGGCCTCTACGATGTGCCGATGGAGCTCCTGGATCTCCGACTTCAATTCCTCGGAGTCTCTCACACGGCCCCTCCCCCAACGTCCCTGGTTGAACAACTGAGCCTTCGCGGATGCCACACAGAACCCACGCGGAATCGCCTACGCAAGCCTGCCCACGCTGGATTCCCGTCAACAGCCCGCGCGGAGTGCCTACTAGCAGCCCCCCTCCCCAGCCGACGCGGGGCCTCCACAGCACAAAGCGAGTTCCCCCCGAATACCAAACGAATACATGGCCAGAAAAAGCTCTGCTCAGCTGTCAGAATCTGCAAACTCTTCGGAGACAAGCTCTGGTGACATCCTAGCCCCCCGCCAGAACCCTTGGCGCCCCGGAACCCTCCAAAAGCCCATCCGAAGTCCACGCAACCCTGCGGAACTCCTGGAAACCCTATCCAGACTACCCAGGACCCCATAGCTGTCAGCTGGGAAGGAACTTTGCCACGGACAAGGTGAGCGCTAGGTGAGCTAACTGGCTCCATAAAACTCCAGAAACCGTTTTCCGGATTCGCGCCACGAGTTGGACTGGTTCCGTTTTTCGGACTGGGGATACTTTCCCGTATGTCCCTTCGTAGCATATGCCCACTGCATGTTCGTTCTTTGAACACGGGGTGCTCCCAAAGAAACACCAAATTTCCAGGTTTCGGTAGCTTGAGCGGCTCTCCTGCTTTCACGAGAGCCCGGAGGTCCGAGGATGCCAAAACCCCCGCCCCCCACATTTCTCTCTTGCCTCATTCCCCTTTCGGTCCTTTGACCAAATGTTTAGCTCATCGTTCCAGGGTTCTTTGCAACCATCGTTCTTTTCAAACACCGATCGCTGTTTCCCCTGGTGCTTGATTTGTTTCCTGAAAAGAAATTCGCATCCCTGGAAAGAATGGAAATGGACGCTTCCCCTAGAAAGCTTGTCTTTCTTTTTCAGCTGCAAGCCAGGCGTCAATGATCTCGTAGAAGTACTTCTGGTGCTCCTCCTGCAGGCTGGCCATGTTGTCCCTGGCCCCTCTGGCGTTCTGCAGGCCTCCGCGTCGCGGCCGATGGCCGGCACTTTCGGGAAAGCAGGCACCGGGGAAAGGCTTTGGCCCAGCACCGGGGGAAGGCTGGGACTGTGTTGTTCGCAACCCGCCTAGCATCCTCGCGAGCACCGCGTCCGGGTGGTCGTTGAGCTCAGGCACGTCCCTCCGGCACGCAAGATCAACCAGGGCGAATGATACGTCAATCGAAAGCAAGGCAACCCCCATGAAGGAACCTTAAGTGAGGTCGCAAACCCAATGAGGTCGTGATTCATCTGCCCAAAAACCATGCGACCGTCCGCTCGCCCCTGCAGCCCTAACGGCCGGCTCCAAAAGAATGCCATCGAAGGTAACTTCTTCCAGAGAGTCAGCCTCCCAGAACAAATACTGCCAGGCAAACATCTGGGCTTTGCCGGAAAGTTCAAGCACAACTAAACACATGTCATGTGCGCATGAATTGTTTTAAGGAAAAGAGGTGTTCGTGATGAGAACACCTTTTCAAAGACAGTGGATGCATGTGTGTGTGTGTGTTTTCAGTGTATACTTTCTGGGGCTGATCGAAACAGAAACCAAGCAACAAAACAACACCCATGTTGGGGGTCCCCCGGTTGGAGACATTTTGATTCCCAGCCTCTTCTGCAGCAGTGCTGGCACAAGCCTCCGCCAGGCGACACTCAACGCCACCAGGGCCATCGGCGACACTCAACGCCACCAGGGCCATCGTTTGAGCAAAACTAGAGACTGACGGTGTTGGCCTTGAACGGTGCCGGGGCAGGGTTGCGCATCGGCCTGCCATCTGTCTCCTCCTCCTTGACGGGCTCTGGGAGCTCGAACTCCAGCCCGGAGGCCTCGAAGCTCATTGGCGCCACTTCGGTTTGGTCGATCCACTTTTTGGAAAAGACCGCAAACAACAAAAGAAAATGAAGGGTGGAATCCACTGAACACCTGGGAACCATTTGTTTGAAGATGTCTGTTGTTTTGCCGACCTCCTGTTGTTTTCCCTTCAGTAACCAGGGTCTTGTTCACACGAACCTTGCCCAACCCGGTTCGCAGGCTGCCGACCGGGATGTCTGTTTCGAAGGAAAAACAACTTCTTGGGTAAAGAATCCAACAACCCATGGTTTCATGAGTCGTCTGGGTCCCCTGAGGGGAACCAGAGTCGGGTTTCAATCCTGCCAACAAAACTCGAGGCTGCGAGGTAAAGGGGTGGGGGGACAAGATGAAGGGTCAATAAGTGGAACCTTGGAATCGGAGTTTGAGGGTACCCGTCCAATAATACATGCATACAGAAGAAGAAAAAAAACTAATGTGTATATATACATATATAGAGGTCGATATGGATCCGCGATCGAGGGCGACCTCGCTTCATCCAAGCTAAGCTCATATGTTGGCTTGTGGCTATGAGGTCACTTGCTTAGACACCCTCCGGCTGCTTGCCGTTTTGCGGAGAGGGCCACCAATGTCTGAGCCGTTTTGAGCCTGGAGTCCTGCTGGGCATCTTTGAATGGCCTGAATGTCCCCCCCCCCCCTTTCATCCGCATTTGGGACACCGGCGCCCTTTAGTCAATGTACGCAAATCTAGCAATTTGACAGAGGTATCGTTTGCCACCTCTTGGTCAAAGGCGGGGAGCTGCCGAAAACTGGGCACCTTTGTCATCATTCACGCCAAAATGTCTCACCCTTCCCCCTCCCAGCCCGACCTCGCTTTCGTCATACTCCTGTGTGCATGCCAGGCTCACAGCTGCAGTTGCTACACAATTCCCGGTATGGTCATCAGAACTGTCTTGCACTGTATCACGCTGCTGTAGCATGGAGGGTTGTCCCAATAGGTTTGACGGTTCGACAACTGAGCCCAGCTACCGCTTATCACAAGCGATGCAAGATAAGTGACTTGGGTTTTCTCCAACCAAATGGCGGGCACGAGCCAGCATTTGTTTAGGCAACATGAATTCCTGATTGTGCCCTTGTTGTTTGCCTGTGACCTTGCTGACTCCTGGTATTCATGTTTGAGTGCCTTCCACAGCAAGCACAATGGCATACTGCTGTGAAACTGAAAAGGTGTCCTTTCATGAACTGCCCGCCGACTCAAAAAAGCTCAAACGGCCTCGGATCGCTCTATGACAGACTTGTCGGACAACCTCAAAGAGGTAAACTCGGTCGCCAACCTTAAACAAATCCCAGAAGCGCATATTGGCCACATGCAAGCTCGCTGCTGGACAGCTGCATCCTGTTGAGAGCTCCAAATCGGCTCCGGGAAACCGCGCCGGTTTTCACAAGGCCAGTGGAAGACCAGGTTTTCGGACGCAAAAAAGTTCCCCATGAAACATCACTCCACAGATTGACCGATTGAACTGGCCCCGAAAGGTATGGATCACCTAGGCCTCAGGGAACCAAAGGACCTGTCAAGAACTGCATCTCCTACCAGTAGGCCAAGGACCCCGAGACCCCTCCCAAGCCAGGCAGGCCTCGTCGAAGTTCTTTGTGGAGGCTGTCACTTCCTGCAGATTCTGAGGTCGATTTCTGAATTCAAGCAAAAACACTTTCCTCAAAATGTGCCACAAATTTCCTCAGCGTTTGCCACAAACCAAAAAAAATAAGATGTTTGAACATGGTTGATCCACAATGGGTGAACCTTCAAATGCAAGTTGTTTTGTGTGATTGTTGTTTTGTATCTTTCTAAGAGATCCCGGAAACAAGCTGTCTCTCTGAATCACTTGCGCAACTGCATCGCCCTGACGCTCGGGTCCTCCAGGATCTCCTGAGCGATGGACGCCAAGCTGATGGGAACAGAACAGTCGGACTACCTAGGCCTGATCTGTTTTATTGAGCTCTCAACTCGAAAGTTCCAGGCTCACGCCTTTGCCTTTGTCGAAACTTTGGATGCTTCGGAACGAATCTAACTTTAAGATAGGTTCAGCACGGCGAGGAAGTTGGATTTGCCAGGTTGCACCCACCAACGTTTTGCCCTCACAAAACTACTTTACCCTTACAAAAGTCAGCTTCATTGCTGCAAGGGGGTTCAGTTGGCGCCACCCTGCTTCACTGCACCCTGAACATAAACATTTGGCGCCATGAGGATTCCCGTTTTCACTAAACTCCGACATGATGCATAGCGTCATACCCTTTGATGTTTGCAGCAATGTCAACATGTTTTGCGCCATACGCTTCATGCCACCTGACTCATAAGCTGGACTTTCCGTCCACATTTTGCAGGGCTCAAACGCGCCAAAACGACATGAGACATGACAACGCCAGCCGCTCTTCACGGCCCAAGCACCCAACCATGCCATCTTTTCAGGCAGCGAGCCGCACCAATTTGCCAAAAGGGTGTAATGTTAAGATATGCCGCTCTACTTGTACTGCCGCCAACCAAAGCTGCCTGCAAGTAAATCAAATCGCCCCAACAGTGCCAATCATCCAGCAAAGGCCGCTTACGACGTCTTGGAGTCAATCCGGTTCTGGTGTTTGTCCAGTATGGCATATAGTGTGTCTGAATGTTAGAGGCACGCATCAACTGATTGGCCATCAATGCCCAGTCTAAGGAGTACTGTCATCAACTTGGATGCGGCTCTCTCGCCAACCCAGGGCGTGGAGTGGGCTGCACTACGATGACCCGCTCAGCCAGCCACTCTGATTTGTAAAGACTCAGCCATGTGCAGGCAAGATGCATCGAGAGGCTTCTCCTCCTCTGTCTGCGCCACTCCTTAACGAGAGGGGCATAAAACAGCTGAGGTCAAAAGACAGGGCCAACGAATCGCAAAAGGCATCCCCTGCAGTGCTTGGGCAAGCATGTTGCAACCCATTGAACTTGGCCCACTAACATAACATCCACCTCACCGCAGAAGTGGACATGTCTCAAAACACTACTTACAACGTACCAACCGGGAGCCGAAGAGAACGGTGACCAACGCGGGAGCCGGGAGCCTTGCGCAGGCCTCCTGGAAGATGGCCAGGCAAAGCCCCGCCCGCAAAAAACAGATTGGAACCCCCAATTGGTGGCGGTGTTGTTGCCGCTTTTGCTTGTGCAACCACAAGCTGTCCATAGAGGGGCTGCAAACCAACCAACCCACCCAATGTCCCAAAAAATGGCAACGGGCCATTTGGATCCAAAGGCCACGGAGCACTTTCCATGCGGGGTTCCAGGTTCCCTACCCCGCTTGACTTCAAGTATTCAATTTACAAGCTCCCACGCAGCCCCAAGGATGTCCCACTGCACTGTGAGTGCTTCCCAGGAATAAGGACCCCCTTTGCAGGGCCTTTTTTCAGAGGACAGCAAGGAAGCTTACTAGCGGTTTTTGCTTTGGGAGAAAACAGCCAAAGAAGGCGGGCTGGTGGACGACCTATGATTCGGTGCAACAAGTCTGCGTTGGGCGTCGCTCAAAGGCTAGACAAGTCTTTCGAGGCAAAGGCGCGCCTGTCCAGTTTTTTCTCTTAAAGGGGGAGTTGCGCCCTTTGGAAAACGACAGCGTTCCCACCGCATTCTCAACACCTGCAACAGAAAGCGACATAGTTATCCACAAACCCACAGCTCTCAACAAGCAGGCTGCCACCACCCGAGTTGTCGAGATGTGTCACGCCTTCAGGCCTTCAGCAAAGCAATGCTCATAGTTCCTTTCATGAGAACCAAGATTGCCAACGACAAAGAGTAATCATCCCGCACGCAACTCGAATCAAACCCCGGGCACGTGACCTTCGGCTTTGCTTCTGCTCCCTTGGGCTCCCTTGGCCAACGCTGCTCAGCTCCCATGAGGCGCCGGCGTTTGGTGTTCTCGGCCTTCGGCCGCATGTCGAACATCCTTGCATGGGCGAATCGGGAGTCGGGAGTCGGGAGTCGGGAGTCGGGAGTGGGCCTTCAGTTTGGGCTCGACATAGCATTTTGCAGTATGTTCTTGCTGTTGCTGCAAATAACCTACATTTAATCTGCGCTTCTGTGGTCGTGATGCAGGTTTTGCATCCCTGCCATCAAAATCAGTCCAGAGACTCTACATTTTTGCTTAGCTTCGGCGTTCAGCTTGGCCCGCCTCTTTGCAGGCAAGAGGCACCTGCAAAAAGGGAACACACCAGGTAGGCTGTAGCGGTTTCAAAGCATCGGATGGCGCCGATACTTGCGTTTCCTTTTGGTGGCGTGCGAATTCAAACAAGACACTACATTGACCCCGGAATCAACCTGGTGTTTTTTCGAGGCATCCGGATCCATCTAAACTGGGACCCCCTAGAAAGGACCTACGGACATCCAAGGCTGCGGCTCTTTGCGCCCGTGCTCGATGTCCGGCAGCAGGACAGTCATGGCCTCAAGGAAACAGATCCCAAAAATCAGGCTGTGGCTCACAAAACCGGTACCCAAAATGGAACCCTGGTAAGTGCAAACATGGACCAAACCCTGCGCAACCCTTCCTGTTTAATTTTGAGCCACACCCATGGCAGAAGTCGACCCGGAGTCTGCCCAATTGCAAAGGACCAAAAACCCGGAACGCCGCACCTGTTAGAAACTGTCCCTGAAGCTACTCCAAGTTTTGATTGTGGCTCAGGCACCTTGATGATCTGGAAGCTCATTCCAGTGTTTCAGGTGCTGGTCTGCAGTGCCGTGTGGTTGATTTCTTCCCGGCCCCCTACCAGCTGGGAAGTCAGAGTACCTTGCCTTGGGTGCCTTCTTGAAGATCAAAGCCCCACATGCTCGGTTCAATCAAGACAGCCCATGGCGGGAACAAAAACCCAAAAAAAGAGTGAGTTGCACTGAGCAAGTATAGTGCCGCTTCCGCTGCATGAATGTGCACTGTGGGAAACTCAGGTTGGCCCAGTAATGTTAACCGCCAGGAAAGTTCTTGAGGCACATCGAAGGTGAACGTGGAAATCTTTGAACTCAACATGCCTTCAGGAAGAGCTGTGTCAGCCAACCTGTGAGCAGACCTCACATTTGGTATGGGATCCATACTGAAAGCCGCCCAGCACACCTCATTTGCTGCAGTCAAAGCCGCGATAAAACCCAAAAAAATACGAGACACGTCAACCCCGGAGGAATCAATCTGGTGGATTCATCGGGGGTTCCCCCGAAAAAGTGAAGGATGCCTCTAAAACTGGAAACCCCTCTCCCTACCACAGCGTGGCCACAGTTAGGGATCAAGCCATGTACAGCTCCTGCGCCGCAAAAAAAGAGCGAGCGGGGCATCTCTGGAGAAGCCTCCCTGGCATCTTCTCACCCAACACCAGCAAGAAATGGGGTTTGCTTTGGGGGCGGGATACCACTTCTGGAAAACCAAAGGAAAACCACCCATGTTGGGGGTCCTTCTGTTTTGGGCACACATCCAAATTGACGGGTTCATGAAACCCTCCAAAATGTTGCGAGGACACAGCAATTCCCCCACTTTACACAACCGGAAGAAGCGTTAGTGCTGCAATTCATGCTTGCACTACTGCCACTGCTGCCACTTGCAGTGCTAGTACTGCACATACTGCTCATGCTGCGTAGTGCTGCTGCCAATGCTGCTACCATTGCTCCTACTGCTGCACAACAACCACAACTACTCGCACTCCCTTCAACACTCACAAGAATTGCTCTTCCTCCACTGCTTCTGCCACTGCTGCTGTCATTGCGCACTGCTGCTGTCGCCCTCTGTCACATCACAAAATGCAAACGCGACGGGAAAAGACCACACGGCGTCACACGTTCGGAACTCTTTGTGATACTCAAAGCGCTATGATGACGTTTTCTGCGAAGCCGTGTCACAATCAAAACCTGGTACCATTTTGGGACCAAAGATGTAAAGAATCGAAAGAGCGGAACGCGCCGAGTGGCTGGAACTGCCCCACTTGCTCTCAACCGGCGTGTCCATAAGGAGGCCGCAAAAGAGTCGGAAAAACAACAACAAGGCAAACCGCGGAATCCCACCTGGAAACCCAGAGGACCATCCCTCAAATATACATTGATGACGTCATTTAACAACAGAAATGGAAAATATCAGCCCTGCCCTCTCCGAGCTCCTCCGCAGTGGCTGACAGCACCAGCTGCTCGTGCACCTTTGCCCGTTCCTCTGAAAACTTCTCGGCCAGGTTTTGTCCACCTGACGGGGCTCCTTGTATGAATCGGTGCGTCCATCAATGGCAGAGTCTCTTTTGGTTCCTTTCAAACGAACCTGAAAAGAGCACCCTCGACAGAAACGCAATCACTTGCCATGGAAAGCGCATGCTAAAAGGAAGCACAGCGCAAAGAATGCCGCATCAACAAAGAGTCCAGGTTGAGTGGAGTCTCGGCAAGAAAGGCTTGATCAGGACCCGCGTCTTCCCACTATAATGCTCCTTGTCCAGGAGCCCCTCCTCTGACCGCCAAATATCTCAACAAGATCCGTTCTCCAGGGTTGTACAAATCTCTGGCTTCACGCGACAGGCACTGTGAAGCCCCCAACGTAGCACCCCATGAGCCAGGGGATCAACCGCAGCAAGCGTCTGCGCACCTGTGTCCATGCTCTCCTCATCAGGTCGCTCGTCGTCCGCCTGTGCACGGCTCGTCAAAAGTCACCGCCCTTTTGGCTGGTATTTCAAGAGAAACCAAAAGGAAGCCAACCATTTGAGAGGCTATGTTGAGAAGCACCCGATGCAAGACCCGAGCTCTCTCGCAGAACCCAGCCCCTGTACAGCTCGCAAAGATCTGCTCGAGACGAGTCAAAATCAACGCCGGCCCAAATGTGGCTGGGGGATGCCTCTCAGATTGCCGCTGGCTCAATGAGTCCTATCCGCAAAAGGTAGAGCCAAACACATCCAGGGGCAAGTGTAGGCAGCCCGGCAGCCAGCCCCACCCGCAGCCAGCCCAGGCCAAATGCGCTCACAATTCCAGGGGCCTGCAGCAGCGAAGAGCACCACTTCCTGGGCAAATCGAAGGTTTCAGGGTGGACGAATCACATCGACCGCGTTTTGGTCCGGGAAGTTGAACAAGTCCCGTCTGCCTGATTCGGGAAAGCCCCCACTGGACGGAAGCGTGAATGTTGAGGCCGCGAAAATTGTGGAACAGCACAGCTTCCGCACGAAGGGGACGAAAGTGACCACCCGTTCAGTTCATCGAATCGTTCGGAAATGCCTAGCGCCCCCCTTCCCCTCCCAGCTGAACTGGTACCTTCATAGAAGCACGCGTAATTTGCCAACATTTCTCCTTTACAAGGAAAAACATCAATTCTGGTTTGCTGGTCGCATTAGCCATTACGTGGGTGGCTTGCCCCTTTGCAAAGTGCAACTTCCTCCCCACCTGCCGAAGTTCCAGAAAATCGATTTGAAGGGACTTCCTGTCTGTGATGGGGGCAATGGGGCACACAGGACCCAAGCACTTCATCTCCTCAAACATGCCCGTGCCTGATCGAAGCCAGAAGGCCGGTCCTGTCTGGAACGGGAAGAGGCGAGGCCCGGGAGATTCGCTTGGGAGTGTTTGCAACTGCAAAGGACTGAAAAACACCGCGCTACAAAAAGCTTGTCAGGGGCTTGGTCCACCGTGCTCTAAATGAGTTTTTGGCGGCCTTCGTGAAATTACCCAACCCATGGTGCGCAACCTGCGGTGTGCTGGGGGTCGCTTGGCCCCTGAGGCCTCAACGGAGAGTAAAACCTCCACTCGAAACGGGCCCCTGGCTCAACGCCCAGGCACTGGTTCAGCCCTCTGAGACGGGAACCAACCCGACAAAAGAAACACGGGGACACCACTGCAACACTTGGGTCTTTTTGGTGGGTTTTACTGGGAAACCCTCCCACCATTTAGAGACCAAGCCCGCTTTTGGCCGCCCACCGTATTCGGCATCCGGTCTGGGCGCCCGGGCTTTTCAGTGTTCCTCAATGCGGAGACTTGGCGCTTTCCCGAAATGACAAAACACATCGCCGGGGAGGCCTCCGGCTTTTGAGGCCAAAAGCAGTGCAGTGATTCAGTGGATTCCCACCTCTCTTCCCAACTAGTGCAATGGTGCAAAATGTGGCCAGCGAGCAGCCCATGGGTCGATGGAAGCATGGCTTGGCTTCCAGACCCCATGCAAAAGGGCAGGCTGGACTTCTGGACTCCCGTTTCTCTGCCTGGCCCCAGCCCGATCCCCGGCCCAGCGGCTCCGCGCAGATCTTCTTGAGGCGCCGCGAAGTCTCCACCTGGCCACCCCCTTCCCATTCGACCGCTTCGATCGGGACACTTGGTCCTTGGTGCCACTGGTCAAAGAGGGACCCAACCAAGGCTCTGCCCTTGGCCATCTTTTGAAGGCTCGGAACACTCCTGGCTACAAATCTGTCAGTTTGAGATTTTAGTCCAAGTCAACCTTTGGCCTTAAAGTGATGTCCCGACGCGGGGCGCAACCACAGGACGCTGGTTCTTCTTGGCAAGGAGAGCTGAACTTCCCCTTGTTGCCTTTGACTGGTCCCGTTGCAGTACATCCTCACAAACAAATGCTTTAAAGGGTGGGGAAAAAAATGCCCAACCCATCTTGAAGAACCACCCCGCATGCCACTGCTTTAAGGGAGTTCCTTTGAGGACACCCCTTTTGGGGATGTCAAAATCAAAGCCTCTATGGCCATTGGCTCCCGGCTACATGCTCTGTAAGGGTCTCCCCCCAGTTCGAGCCTTGGAAAATGGGGGAAAAAACGCTGAAGGCCCCGTTGTTGATTCTGCTTCAGGGAAGGCTCTTGGATCTGTCCCAAGATAGGCCCCAAAATGGTGGTGTCCTTTGAGTCGCTTTTCAAAACAACAAACAAAAAGTACCTTCTAGAAAAGGCACTCATCTGAAGGAATGAGGCACTTCCGCAGAAGATGTCAGTGATCAGTGATCGAAGGAGCAGAATCTTGACAGACAAGAATGAAACCCCCCCACTAGTCCTTCGCCAGCTCTAAACTCCCCCTCCCCCGGCCCCAACCGCCAAATCGGCACTTCACTTCCCTACCGCCTTTGTCCCGCAGATCCCGCCTCCACCAGACTCTCGTGGATGGCGGCACTGAGGAAGCCGGGATGCAGCTGCCCTCGGCGCGAGTTGCACGGGGGATATCCAGAACCCACAAATGCCATTGCAGTCTTCGGTAAAGACTCTGAACAATCACTTGTTTGTAGATTTCGTTTTGATCTCGTTTTCCCGTTGGACCAATCTTGCAAACAAAGGGTGATCGGATTTGAGCCACCCTCCAACAATTGAGCAGAGTCTCCTGATTGGACTGCTTAGGCTGGGCAAGAATCGCGCACAATCGCGCCTTTCAGACCCTCATTCCCAGTGGTCTCAGGCTCGTCCACTTGGGAATCGTCGCATACCTGCAAGTGTGTCTGCTGTCGCTGCGAGTGGGCAGGGTCAGCTTTTGTTGCCCAAAACATTTCAATGGACGAGCCGAGCCCTCGCGGAAAGGGCCGTGGGTCAAAACCCCGTACCCCCAGTGAACATCCCAATCCCCACGGAAATAGGCTCTAAAAATGGAGGTGAATTCACCTACCCCGAAATGGGATCCCATTGATTTTGACCAGCCAAATGACAGTGTGCCGCTCCTTTGAGGCAAGGGCCAAAACAAAAGCTGTCTTGCGTGTGTCATGGGAAGCCAATGCCTATGCACGAGAGGTGCATACATCATGGTCAGCTAGCAGGAAGTCTGTCAACTCCATGAACTCCTAGCAACAGCGGACTCCTGATTTAGAAAGGCGTCAAAACAAGAACGTCTGATCCGTTTTGCAAACCACCTGCGGGGATATTGTAGCCTCCCTCTCTAGAAACCCAATGGAACCTAAAACGATGGTTGCTTACCTTTCTTCCTGCCTTCCTTTGTACAGCTAAATCTGCTGCAACCAAATACCCAGGTCTTTTGCTCCTGGCATGCAACTTTCCTATGGTTCATCTGGTCCCCGCCCCTTTCTGACAAAGTAGGGAAAACTTGACTGGAAATCTGGTGGCCCTGTGTCCTCCCCAAATGGACCATAAGCTACCATTGGGTTTGATGTCCACCAACCTTCAGGGAGGCTATTCCAACCATGAAACTTCGAATTGCCACCTGACAACCAACCCGGCCATACCAGCCCAACCAACCCAACCAAATCAACCGACCCGCAATATTCCCCAGTGCCCTCGCCTTTCGCCACACGCGGACACTCACTCGTGCCTCGGACCAGGGAATGATCCCCTCGCTCGCAGCTTCGAAGTACCGCTCCAGCGCCAGTGTGATGGTCGCCTGCAGGACACTGATCATTGGAGGTGGGTTCAAAAACAAAAAGGCGCATCGAAACATGGAAGATTCCGTAAGTTTTGGGGTTCGTCCCGAAAAGAGAGGGGGCCCTGCTTCGCCAACCTCAGCAGTGGACACAAAGGCTCACCCTGGGCTTTGCCAACCCCAAGCCTTCAAGCCTCGACACGGCTGAGTAGCCAAGCCAAGGCCAAAGGCGAGTGGCTTTGGGCCCCTCTCTTTGTGAGTCCGAAATGACTTGAGAACCGAATGACCGATGGTCTCTTCAGCCAGGCTGTTTTCCAGAATGCGGATTGACCCTGAGTCGCATGTCGTGCATTCGCAGAAGAGCCCTGACTAATTTTGATTTGGAGTCGTTCACAAACTCGCTCTAATTTTCCGGGTTTTTTTTGGGGTGGGGGGAAGGGGGTGGGGGCGGGGCACCCCTCTGGTAGGGAAACCAAAACCAAGTCATAGTTTGGGTTTTTGCCACTTTGAAACAAACCCGTGGGCCTATCCATCCCGCAGCCTGCAGCGTCTCTCGGGACGATTGCTTGAGAGAGCTGATGTCCAGGGTCTGCGCAGCCACATCCTCAGAAAAACGAACACTTGGGCGTTTCCTACCCCTTCCCCCCCCAAAAAAAAAAGACCTGGAAAAAATGGCAGGCGGGGGGGGGGGAAAAAATGGAGAAAAGGGGGGGCCCGGGGGGTGGCCTCTTGATGGTTGCCTGTTCTGGTTTTTATGTTCATCTCAAATCTGTGTTCCCCCTTATTTGTTTTGAAAAGAGGGTTTTTAGGGAGCTTATTTATCGTTTTCGTTAAGGTAATCACTTGGGTAAATTGTCGCCTTGTTCATTGTTGGGCTGGGGGCCGACATTTTTTTCATTTGAAAGAGCTGGCCCTTTTAGTAGTTATCAAGTTCTGGGGTGTTGGTGGTGTATTTGTTTTGTTAGTGCTTTTCTCACTAATTTTTATTTATAGGTTAAAAGTTCAGTATAATTATAACATATAAGATTTTACATGTTATTATTATATTATGATTATAATTTCAGTTCAGGATAATAATCTAATTGGTTTGTCTTACTTCTTTCATACATCATTTTAAAAATAATATTAACATCTCTCACTGTATTCTGAACATTAAACTTTTTACTTTCAATAAATAATTTGATATTGTCTTGAACATCTTCTCCTTTCTCTTGACTATAACCCAACATCCATAATATATCATAAATCATGTCATATTTTTCTTACTGATTTTAAGAAACTGTTTAACATAATCGTAAGGTGGTAATTTATTTACAGTTAGAAATATTAAAATATCATCTTCTACATTTCTATTATGTCTTCCTTCTATTCTCAACAGACATTTGATTAAAAATTGATTATCTCTCCATTCCTGACAATTTTCACATTCGTCTTTTTCATCCATTGAATAATTAATAATATTATTCACTATTTCATTAGGTAAATTCAATTTATACAATTCCATATTTTCTTTTTTGAAGTGACAACAATCATAGCATTTTTTATCGATATAATTATTGATTCCATCACCGTTCATTTTTCTCTTAATATATAAGGTAATATTTATTTAAGTAGTTTTGGCTAGGGGGTTTCAGGTTTAATTTAAATGTCTTAACCTTCTTGTTAGATTATAAAACAATGTTTAATCATATTATAAGATAATAATATTAATAAACAAAAGTAAATTTTACCCGTATTCAATCACGCCAGCGATACAACCACTATAACAACTCATACTATACTCGCAACAATAATGCTCGTATCCTTTTATTAATTGGTCTGTGTAAATTTCAATTAATTCGCTAAGAATATATCTCATACAATAATTGTTATTTCTATATGACCACCAACTGTTTAGGTTTGGAAAGCTAAACCCACAACGTTTAAAAGTTTTTAAATCTTCAATGTTAAGACATTTTCTTAAAATGATACAAATTTCATTTTCATTATTCTTACAGTATGATTTTAATGCTTGATAATACATTTTTCTATTTTTAAACCGTTCTTTAACTTCTTGTATATCAAATACTCGGTCAATGTGTTTTCTGTAATGTCTTATTTTTATACTATATTGGTTTTCCGCTAGTAGTGTAAAAACCTTATTTTGCATTAGTTTAATAACTTGTAATTGAAGTTCTGCTTTTTCCAGTCCTTCTTCAGGAATGTCTTTATGTCTCATAAAATGTTCTTCTTCATCCATCAAATACCAGCAATCAAAACATGTTACTCTAATATAGCCACCTATAAGGTTACACACATCAACAGGTAAAATATTAGCTAGTGCCACGACAGACTTACATTTTTTATTTTTACAAGGACAAGTATCATAATTAAACAGTGTCATTTTTTTCTCTTACTATATTATATCCATTTTTCTTTAAGTAGTTTTTATTTTATGTTAAGGGGTGGGGGGTTTATATTGAAAAAATATTTTCTAACAATTTAATATAATGGCGAGATTAACAAAAGACCAAATAATCAGCAACATCTATTACGACTTAGACGAGGGTTTCGGAAGCACACAAGCGACACACAAGAAGGCAAAGGAAGAAGACCCAACAATAACATTAGACGATGTAAAGTCTTTCTTAAAGAAACAACCAAATAAACAAATCAAAAATTATAGAGGTACTAATTCCTATACCGCTCCATTCGCACGATATGAATATCAAATAGACATAATGCATATGTCACCTTTAGCAAAAGACAAGATCGTTCCACAGTATGCTTTAGTCGTGATTGACATCTTCAGTAAATTAGCAGATGTAATACCGATGGAGGAAAGAGACGGAGAGCACGTTTTGAAGGCGTTGAGAACAAGCTTTAAAAAGATGGGTTATCCGATGTCCGTGTATTCTGATGACGACGGAGCGTTTGCAACTAAAAATCACGTTCAGGATTTCTTCAACAGTGAAGGAATAAACCACATCGTTACGAAGACCCACGCAAATGTAGCCGAGCGTTTTATTAGAACGATGAAAAACAAAATTCACGATAGAGTTAGGTTTAACAACATGAAATGGACCGACGCCCTAACGCCGGCATTGAAACAGTATAACAGCACATCTCACTCATCAACAAGGATGACACCGACCGATGCACACAAGGACGACAATGAAATAAATGTAAAGGTCAATCTTAAACTACGAGAAAAAAACAAAAGAAAGTATCCCAAAATAGAGGAGAACGACAAGGTAAAAGTGTTCCAAAAGAAAAGGGGTAATTACACCGACAGAAAGGAGTATAACTCTAAATGGTCTAATAAAATATTCAATATTGATAAAATTGAATATGATATTATGGGTAATAAAACTTACAAAGTAGCAGGAATAAACAAACCGCTTTTGAGACACGAAATTTTGTTGGTTAATGATTAAACGTATTTCTTGGTGTCTTCTTTATACTTGACTTGATAGTAATCCAGACTTGATTGTTTAGGTTCTTTTATGATTTTTTCATTCAGTTTTTTAACATAAATGTTTCGTTTATTTTTGTATTCGCTACTGTCTCTATCTACTTCTTTTGCTTGATAATTGTTATTGTTATTATATGTAGGTTTAATATTCATGCTCTTTAAGATGTTCAGTATGTTTTCATTTTGCTCCAACACTTTTTCTAATCTTGGAAACAACAACTCCAAACTACTGCCAATGTTCTCTAAATGTTCTTCCATATATATATATATATATACTAAATTATAAAACTAAACTTTTAAAACTAAATGTTGCAATTATGCTAAATCTACTCTTTAAATACTATTTTTTCATCATTTCACGTATAGTTTCCTGAGTTTCGTTATCACCATTTTCCGAAAGTGATGCATCCTTACCCCATTTAAAAGTTATATTATGAACATCTGTTTCTAAGTTGATACTGTCTTTAGTTTTATCAATATTCATTTTCTTATCATTTTTACTCATTTTGAAACTTGTTGGAATACACGAACATTTACAATGTCCTTTCTTTTGTATTTCTAATTCATTGTTCATTTCTAACATCTTTTTACACATTGGACAAGCAAACTCAATAACTGATGTTTCTTTAACAATTTCTTCTTTTTCTTCATCAGTTGAAGAAACAACTAGCTCAGTCTTATTCTTTTTCTTTCTTCCCATCTATATTAATATTTATATTTTTAATATATTGTATCACAAACTTAATTAATTCTAAAACAAAATAGCATACTTTCTTAAATCTATTATCAGTTATAACCACTCAACTAACTGCAGGCTATTTTCCTTCTTCGGCCAAAAAGGGGCTGTCATGCCCAGTGATTTCATCCGCAACTCAAACATCAGGGCTCCCCCTTCTTTTAAGGGTCTCACCCGGAAAAAGAACCTGCTCAAACCCCTCAGCTCTTCTTGAAGATGGTGTAGCCCACCCACTTGCCCTTCTCGAACTTCTCGCGCCGCCCTTTCCGGGGCGACAGATCCACCCACAGCCCTCCTCCAACGGACCAGGCAATGGTGCGCTTCGTTCCCTCGTAGCCCTCCTTCTCCGTGTCGAAGAGCTTCACGCGCTCCTTCCTGTGGACCTGGATGCCAATCTCTCCGTGGCCAGGAAGGGGCACATCAATCCACTCGTCCCGTGTCCCCTTAGGCGGATGGGACAACATGACCACCGCGCTCTCCTCAAGGTCCTGAAAGAAAGCGCGCCGCATGATCTCCAGCATGTTCTGACTCGAACCGCCCACAACCCTCCGCGAGATCATCTCCTCTCCATGCGTCCTAGGCCGCTTGTTTGCCGCCCCATCAATGCCACCGCCACCACCTCCGGTAGATGCCGATGTCCCTGATCCAAACGCCGAGGAATCCCCTCCCGTGAAACCAGAGGGCCTTGATCCCGATTCTCCACCTCCTCCGTTCCCAGGAGGTTGTTGCCCCGGACCACTTGAACTCGAGCTCCTCACTCCGGCTTCGGGCCGCCTCAAGACCCTGAAGTTTGAAGACCCCGTCCATGGCGTCCTCCTCTCCCAGTGCTCTTCTTGCCAATTCTCGACCATCCTCTCCCAGGTCATGCCGTTCTCAGCGTCCGGAGCGATCTCGGAGATCCTGATGTAGTCCAAGTCCTCAAAGTTGATGCCGGGTGGAAGCTCTCTAGGCCTCGGAATGTAATCCCAGTAGCGCGGCACCATGTGAATGCGGGAAAGTCTAATCTCATTCTCGCGGAACTCGACCTCCCATTCATCTTCACCAGGTTCATCCTGCGATGGCCTTTCTGTCACCTCCGGAGGACCATCTCCACCACCGGCTGGTGCAACCTTTCGCAGCCGCAACCCCTCACCCACATTCCCAAAGCCTTTCACCTCCGGCGTCATCCAATTCATAGACGGTCTCCCTGACGAAGCACCCGCCTTCTCGACCACCAACGATCTCACCGAAGGACCAACCTCCTCTGTCTGCTTCTTCACAGGCCCGTCTAACTCCTTCACCTCCTTGATCTTGGCCAGGGAAACCTTCTCCAGCACCAATTGCGCTACCGCCTCTTCCGGCTCGATGACGTAGTCCTGGGATCCATGGTTCCTGACCAAAATCCTCACCTCTCCACGGAAGTCGCGCTCAATGA